TTATGATAAATAAATGGGAATTTATAGCAAATTAAACGAACCCCTTTGGGAGCAGATACCCTACTTTCCATACTGCTCCTGCTGCTACTCCCACTCCTACTCTGTGGGTGTTACAATCTAAGAGTTAAGCTACAATTATGCTGAAAGCATTTAATAGTTTAAACAAGAACAAAATAACACGCAATACTGGTAATCCGAATAGACACAAATTAACTTGTAAATTATTGAATCTCAGCCCACACACACAAACACACACACACACACACACATAGCCGTAAATCAGAAAAGCAAAACTGTAGTCAAAAATAGTAGTTCATTGTTGCTGTCTAAAGATACATACAATAGAAACATATGTGTGTACATGAATTAAACTATAAATAAATGCAGTAAATCAGTAAGTCAGTAAATGTATTTCAATTTGTGTGCGTTACGTAGCCCCCGCAACTAAAAGGGGTTAAAGAGGTTAAACAAAAACAAATAATTCCAAAGAATTAGCGTAAATGTGTCTGTGTATAATCTGTAAGTAGAACTGTCTCTATATTTCTCTGTTTATCCACCTAGCTAAGTTCATATGTGACCTCTCTTGTGACCCTGCACCTGACACACCTTGTGTGCTATCACCTGTTCTGTATAAATTACTAAGCTCTGATTTAGGTTTATCCCTCCCCAAGAAAATACCTAGCAAAGTGAGAAATATACTTAAATAAATACTGAAAAATATTGATAAGCATGAATATGGCTTTTAGTTAATTGCATTTCCAGCCTCCTCCCCCATCATCATCGATGGCCTCTAGCTTTTTTTTTTGGAAAATTGCAATTTGATTCAATTATCGCAGCAGAGTCTCTGCTCTAGGCGCCAGGTAAGTGTTAGAGTATTTTTCCAAAATTAAATTCCCCCGCAGCCCCTCCCTAGCGCATAGATATCGAAATGTCAGTGTCCATGTTTCTGGCGGTGTGTGGCAGAGAATAGTGATGGGATTCCTGGCGCAGCATGTGCAAGGAATTTCGAGTTCATTAAAAAAGAATTTTCCGGAATTCAATGGCACAAACTCGCAGAGAAACGAACCACAAACGAATATTATTTGTTTGGTTTGGGGTTGTGCCATGCTCTCCCACTGTCTGACTGTGTCTAAGGATGCACAGGCGAGCAAACAGACGGGCACAAACACAGACACAAGCACGTTCATTCTCGCCTTGTCGGGCCTGAAGTTTTAATTTCCGCTTTGGCGGTCGTCTGCACAAAGTCACATGCCATCGATAGTATCCAGTAAATATCGTTTCTCTCTTCGTTAAGCTGTTGTCAAATGAAAAGTTTTTCACCGACAGCTAATAGCAGTCGTGGCAACAAATGGCATTGTGATACTTTGAGCATCCAACAGATCCAAAGTGTAATGCAACTTTCAATGCAAACGTTGGGGTGTGATCCATGTACTTTTATTCAATTGGGTTCTTTTAGCAATGAAAAAAAACATTATGATTAAATGTGTTCAAATATCTATTGAAAAAAACTCCCAAATGAAAGAGTCAAAGAGTATGCGACGCTGAAAAATGTACCTTGTGAGAGTTTATTTCATATTTCGCTGCTGTTATTATCTACACCCTTTTGTATGCCATGTTATGTCAGGCAGCGGATGTAATTGAAAATTATTTTGTTGCCCCTTAACAATGGCAGCCTCCTCAAAGCCGAGGACTAAGCAAAATGAAGTTCAAAAATCAAATAAATATTAAATTATTCATTCGAGTTTCTTTTCTACTTTTAGCGCGTAAAAGAGAGTTTGGCACAAAGCAAAAGGGACACCAAACAGACAGTCGAGTCAACATTGAAATTTGCTTGAACATAATGCAGATACATCCTCAAATGTGTAGGTACATTGTAGGATATTGAAGCATCTGGCAAAGAGCAAATAAAAAATAGATGAACTCACTTGCCGTTCCTCTTACACATAAATATATACGTGCATGGGTGGGGGCACTGTATATGTGTGTGGGGCAGACAAATATCCTCGAGGCAGTCGAGCCAGTAAAGCGATGGAGGACCCTCAATCCAGGACATTAAAATGAGCAAAAATTCTCATAAAAATCCCAACCTCTTGCTTATCTCCAAAAGGCAGAAAAATGCCAAAATTGAAGTCAAATTCTAATCGGGCAAAGCGAAACTTGACAGGTACGAGTATTAGTCAAAGGAGGTCCTACAAGGATACACGCTCAGAAAAACATCAAGAGAAAAATCAATATGGGTTGAACTGCAGCTTAAAGTTTCGGATGCTGGAAAAGCTGCAGCGGAGAAAAAGAACGCGGAGAAAAAGAAGGCGGAGAAAGCCCTATAATCCCGAAGGCAACACTTTGGCCTTTGGTGGCAACCAGAAAGCCTACCATCCGCCATGATGTAACATTTTGGATGGAAAGAGTAAGTTCTCACTCTTTTAAAGACCTGAATCAGCTCCCTTCCAGCATCAGCATTCGGTGATTTATTAAATAGAAAAATTCCAAGCTCCAAGTACCAACTCCAGCTGCAACTGTGAGGGATTTTCTAGCATATTTCAGACGCATTTAATGGCAGTGCTCATTTGTCTACCAGCAGCAAAAGCAGCAGCGGCAGCACCGCCAGCCACATCAGCAATGCTCTTAGCCCAGAATCAGTGGGTTAGATGCAGCCACAAGCACACAGGCACCCAAAAGAGCAGAAGCGAGACGGCGAAGAGGTGCCATGTGCCATGTGGATTGTGCCTTGTACTTGCGGCGCATACGTAACGTTCGAAAACCGAACAAAAGAACCAAAAAAAAGCACACACTTGCACTAGCACTCTCGCACTCTCCCTCTTACCAATTACAAGTACTTGTGGCAATGGAATGTGGCTGTAAGACCCCCTGCCATTGCCACTGCCACTGTCAGGGCCATTGCCGACAGAGAATGCGAATAAGTTTTGCCAGCTTGCTGCTGTGGCAATATCTTTTGTTTTATTGTTTATCCAAAAGGATTTATTAAGCTCTACTTATGACCAACATGCCTCTGGCCATATCACAATGTTCCATACACACACAAAAAGTCAGAGACAGCGACAACGACAGAGACTTAGATGGAGAGTTAGAGAGAGCTTTGTGAGTGTCCCTGTAAGAAATTCTAATTGGTTGGTTTTTTGGCTTAGCAAAGTGCTTGGCATTTGTTTTGAGTCGAGACATTAATTTGGCAAAGCAATTAAATTGCTGCCCCAAAACGAAGATGTGGAATCTGTGGCATAAATACGAGTATGCAAATATGGAAATAGATGGCTGGACAAGTGCATTGGAAAACTCACTCGAAAAGCAAATAAGTTATGCAATCTAATGCTGGACTTTGCACACTTCAGCAATTTGGTACACCACACTTGATGGAGATTCGTACTTGACAGTCTGACCAGAGACAAATTTTCATGTGGAGTTAGTTCTCTATTCACCACTCGATTGATACTCGATCGAAACTCTGACAATGTCGAAAATTGTTTTGCAATTGCTTTACATGACAAAATGGCCAACTAATTAAGAAGCCATTAATGCAACATTTCGGACCAGAGCAAAGCCAATTGTGCCTGCCACAGGAAAATGTTGTCCAGCACTCGCTCTCGACGCCATTTTCACACGTTTTGTGGGCGAAGCGAACACATTGATGCAAATTCGGGCTGAAATGTTGTTGCAACCAAAGCAGTGACACTTTCTGGCAAACTAGAGGAGTGTATACCCTAACAAGTGTGCGGAAATGTTGCATTTATATTGGGCAAATGTGTTCAGACTTGATTGGAAATACTCTCCTGTGGTTTTCTGTGTTAGACTCCCACACAGGGACTAGTAACACACTCAATAATCGATTGCAGGGCAAATCGAACTGATAGTCATACAAAATGATTTAAGAGACGGATATTCAAACGAACTTTGGGCAAAACTCTCGCAGAACTTCAGCAGCCTAATATTCCTAGCAGAAAACTCAACTTTGGGGTTTGTGGTGTATCCATCGATGTGCTCTCATCCTTTGGTTAGAGTATCGTTTGGTCCCAACTTGTTGTGGATAATTTATGCACGAGTGGCTTCCACTTGGCCAGCAGAGCCCGGCCAAACACTCGACAAACCAAACATATACATAGAAACGAACTGCGCGCCCATGGAACCAATTTGATATTGTATGGCCAGAAGCTACCCCACGAGCCACCCCCTAACGGACAACCCCCGTCTGGATACCCACCCACTTGGCTGCACTAATTTGTATCCAATTAAATCGGCTTAGTTAGTCAGGGAGGAGTGGAGTCTATTCTGTTCTACTCTATTCTCCGTCCTCGGAAAATCGTTTTCGTTTTGCGGTTCAGCATTTTTGGACAATTTTGAAAATTTTGGATAGTTCGATAAGAGGTCGTGGGACGTTGGGGCGGAAAGTGTGCAGAGGTGCAGCGGCTGCCAGGGCACCGATAGGCGTTAGACTTAATGCGCGAAATTTAATTAAAATTGAACTTAATTTAGATAAGCTTGTGAGCTTCGCGGCCTGATATGATAAATTGTGGCACACTTTAGTGGGCGTGGCATGCCTTGCGTGCTAAGCCGCTTACAAAAACCAAAACACTGAGGGAAACAAACCCTCCGCACGAAGGTGGGCTACTGTCGGACTGTAAGGAGTACATTTTCTTGCAGTGCAGTGACAAGCGGAGGTAATAAATTTCTGTAGGTTCAGCGTAAGGGTGAAAAACTGAGGCAGAACTTGGGGTAATTCCCTCGCCGGTGCAACAGGCTAAAGAGTGTCCGTGAGGGGTTTGCTTCAAGTAATTAGAATAACATTTTTTTGCTGCCTTTGGCCAAGAGCCAGACACCCTCGACATTCGCTTGGGTTCGCTGTGGGGGCCAGCGGCTGGCTGAGAGGTCATCGAAGTTCAGCATTCAATTTGGAGCTGCTTGATTCCAGTTTGATTTTCAGCTTCGATACAAAAGTCAAACATTCATTAAATAAATTTTACGATATTCTTTTACAATTTTCTTTTTACATTTTGACACTTGAGCACATTTCGGGAATTGCATTCAAATTGCAGGGAAAAAAGCTTTCCACATTCTTTAATTTAAATTCCGACTGCAGCAATGGCCGTCAACTTCCTGTGCGACATTGTCGTTTGCCACTTGGAGCTGCCGCATACGGAGATCAGCGAGCCGAAGCATCTGCAGGTGGCCATGCGGATTGGCAAGGTGCCCCTGAGCCTCACCGCCAGCTGCATCAACGTGCGGGAGTTCACGCCCACCAGTCAGACCGAGTTCAAGGATAGTGCCAAAGCGTTGAGGGAAACCCTGGAGGCCAATGGGCTGCCCATCACTGTGCGACTGGCTGCCAGCACCCTGGGCAGTGGCAAGGTTGAGCTCCCGCAGGACTTTACAGATCGCATCAGTGAGCAAATGGGCGACGTGATGTTTGGCGGCTCCTGCGAACTGCGAAGCCGTGAAGGGGTGGTCGGCACCGTGGAAGTCATGCTGCGACTCACCATCAAGTGCGAAGATCCAGCCGTAGAGTGAGTACTCTGGGGAGAAAGGTTTGCAGGGAGATTTTATTCACAGCCATCCCTTAGACCCGACACAGGCAGCAAGAGGCGTGCGACCTGTGTCAATTTAGGACCGTCCATCAATCAACAGGACATTATGTTCATGATTGGTTCCCCCGAAAGGTGTGAAATTCCTTCAGATCCATGCGACGACCAGCTGGAGCCTGAGCCAGGGGATAAGCGGCTTCAATTGGATCTTTCGCGTTACAGAAGCTCTAAAGTGAACTCGAGGGTCGACTACGATGAGCCCGAGCCGCAGGAGAAGTCCTACTTCGGATGCCTGCGCCAGCTGACAGAACAGTATGGGGGCATCATTCAGTCGGTGGTTGAGAGGGTCAAAGACCTTAAGCCATCACCCTGTATGGTGCGGCGACTCGAAGAGGATTCGCCATCTCGCAGGATGTCCGTTCATGCCCAAGAGGAACGCACGATCCCTGTGCCACTGGGTGACACGGAGGAGCTGGACATCAAGCCAATCCGCTTCTGCCCCGTGTGTCTGCATGCCATGTCGTGGCTGCCCAAGTACGCCGCGTGCCACAGCTGCGGCACGAAGCCAATGCCAGTGCTGGGGCAGCGTCACACGGTGGAGCTGACAGCGGACGAGATCATAGAGGAGCAGCTGCGCAAGGGAAAAGGCAACTCAGGGAACGAGGATTTCTGCCTCGATCCCTGCGACAAGAAAGAGCAGCACGGGGACGGTTGCAGGGCCAGTTGTTGCACCTGCACGAGCGTCAAAAAGTGTGTCCGCTGTCGCATACGAAAGCTCTGCGAGGATTTATTCCAGCCACAGGAAAAACCCGAAAAGGAGTGCCCCAAGCAGCAGACGGGTCAAGACTTTGCCGTAGTCACTGATCCCCCGGAGAACTGTCGTCCGTATCTCACACGAGTCTTCTCCGAGCTCATCAATCTCTATCAGATCAACGATGCTCGGAAGGCCCAGGAGCTGCAGGCGCGCTGCACTCAGTCCATGCCCACAATGCCCAGGCCCAGCAAGAGAAAGTTTGTGGAGGAACAGGCGGCCACCGCGATGCACAAAGGTGTCTCCGTGGGTGCCTTGAAGGAGCGCCACAAGTCGGGCCACAAAAAGTGTCTGTCCGGCGATAGAGTCGTGCCACGGCGCCACGGCTGGGGCTGGATGAACACCGATGAGGCACGAAAGCATGGCTGGCGTCCCGGTGTCATTGCTAGATCCACCAGCAGAGTGATGAAGTTCTTCATGGACCAAGAGGCGCACCGGAGTGGGTTCAGCGTGTGCCGGGAGCTGGAAGAGAAGAACAAGCAGATGGAGCTCCAAAGTCAGTCAGTGCTGAGCGTGTGCAAGCGGAACCACGAGATCTTCGTGACCCTGCGCCCGCTCAGCACACTGGGAGTGGAGCAGCATCCCATCACCTTCAGGATCGTCAAGAGCGAGCTGGCCCGGGCTCTCAGCGAGCTCAAGCGGCACCTCAAATCGAAGGGCTTCGAGAAGTGCACCTGCCACCAGACACTGATGCTGTGCACCTGTCGAAGTCCGCGCGAGAAGCGCCTGCTCGAGCGAGCCATTGACAAGGAGTGCCGCCGCCGCGTCATAGAGCCCTGTTCCGATCGGCTGATCCTCACGGACACCAGCGACAGCGAAATGGAGTTCGATTTTGATGTCACACCACCCGCTGGCACCCACAGGCAGTCCAGGACGCAAAAGCGCACCTTTAACCACGGCACACAAACGAGCAAGAAGGACAAATTGCCTCCTCCACCACTCTATCCCATCCAGCAAAATCCCTACTGGCGCGCCTTCGACTGCGGAGTGGGTGATCGCTACATGGGCACTGCCATTGGCGACAACCTGGAGACTGTCTTCGAGGACGGTGTCTTCGGCTACCTGGGTGGGGGCCAGCACGGCGAAGCGCCTTTGCGTAGGCATCCCAGAGTCTGGGGCACAAATCCAGGCGCTCCCCTGCGCCTTGGCCGGGGTCGCAACGAGGACAACTTCAATCGATTTAGTGGCACAGCCTGGCGCGGCTTAGCACGCAGAGTAATAAGGAAAATGCGAATTGCAGCTAAAAATAAATAAACAGTGAATAAGTAGATCAAATATAGAGATAAAACAGGAATTTGTGGCTTGTTTTTTTGGCAAAGGGGGATTGTAGTTGCTGGGCTGGTAATGGATAGACTGAAGGTCAATCGAAGTAGCCGCGTCTTAAATGCTTCGCAAACTGTCAACTCAGAGTTTTATTTAATCAAAGTTCAGTTTGTTTTAACGTTCACAACGTAGGAAACATCGAAACGTCTTTTCAGTTTACCAGTTTTATCGCATTAGTGTATAAGTCTCTTAAAAAAAATTATAAAGTAAACAAAAATTGAAACACACCCAAAAAATTACACAATATCCCGAAGTGCAACAGAACCCTCTCTTAGCTGAACAAAATTCTCGATTGACAGCGTTTAAAGTTTAGTAAACGATGGTTAATGGTAAGTTAGGGAGGCCAAGGGCCAAGTCTATGATTTTGTTATCTGCGCCAGAGCCCGATCCCGCTGCAGCTGAGGCCCCGGCATCAGAGCGGCCAAAGCAAACGATGGCCCAGCCACCGCCAACATTTATCTTTGACGTTGTGGTGACCAATCTGGAGGCAAAGGACGTTGAGATCACCAATCCCCAAGGACTGGCCATCGATGTGAACTTCAATCGCATGTCATTGACGCTCACCTCGAGCCGGATCAATGTGAACGAGTTCAAGCCGGGCAGCGGCTTGGAGTTCCAGACAACGCCCAAGAACCTGCGCAATACAATCGAGGAGTGCGGCATGACGTTCGTGGTGAAGTACATGGATCGCCCTGTGGGCAACGGACAGATATCCTTCCCTGCCATGGTCACGGAACGCATTGACACAGAGATGAGCGACATCATCCACGTGGACACGTGTGTGCTGGGCAAGGCAGGGGAGTCGGCCGGGCAGCTGGAGATGCTCTGTCGCCTGATCATCCGCTGCGATGACCAACCAAAGTAGGTCAACTGTGACAGCCAGGGAGATCGAATGCTAATCCTTTCTTCCTTCCGCAGGGTGGGAGATAGCGACTGCAAGCGAAACATGGACAAGAGCATCAATCCGCAGGACATCATGTTCGTGATGGGCGAGTCGCAGCACTGTCCCAGTCCCAGTCCCTGCGATCCCTGTCTGGATGCCCTCGATTCAGAGCCGGGCGATGAGCGTCTGCGCCTGGACCTGCAGCGATATCGCAGCAAAACTGCCGGCACCTTCGACCCCAACAAAATGATGACGGACAGGCCATCTGGGATTCCGGCTTGCTGTGAGCTGAAGGTGGGTTGTACGCCGTAAGATGTGATGATCCATTGATAATTTCCACCACAAATACTCTACAGAAAATTGCCGTGGAGTATGAGCAGCTTATAGACTCCATAACCAGAGCCACGGGCAGAGCACCGCCTCCCAAGCCGCCGTGTCGCAATCCTGAGGAGTTTGATATGAGTCCCTGCCGTGACACGCACATGCCCGTGGACATGAAGATGCCGGGAGAGCCACATTTGCCCCGCTTTACGTATCAGCCCACCGGGCAGCAGCACAAGCCTGATCAGAATCTCATTACAATGCCCATTGCCGACTGCGACGGCAAGAAGCCGGAGATCAAGCCAATCCGTTTCTGTCCCGTGTGCCTGACCAACATGTCGTGGATGCCAAAGTTCGCCTCCTGCCCCAAGTGTGGCATCAAGCCCATGCCCATGATCGAGGAACGGCACAAGGAGAAGAAGCTGACGGCTGATCAGATTCTGCTAGAGTTCCTGGGCAAACCGCCGCCCACCGTCGACGATTACTGCGTGGATCCATGCGACAAGGCGGTGAAGGACAAGGAGGCCGGAGGCACCGACGAGTGTCCACCCTGCCGTTGCACCTGCAAGTTTGGGAAGCTCTGCGCTCACTGTCGCATTAGGAAATTGTGCGCCGACATCTTCAAGTCAGACAAGGTGCAGGCCAAGTGCTCCAAGGTGGAGCCGCAGCCAACCGAAGACTTTTGCGTGGTGAACAAGTCGAGCAACGAGGACTGTCGACCGTATCTGGCCAAGGTATTCTCCGAGCTGCGCGACCTCTACGACATCAAGGACACCAAAAAGATGTCCGAGTTCGATGAGAATTGTGAGCTGAAGAAGAACAAGGAGGAGGAGCCCAAGACGCCGGGCAAAGACAATCGCAAGAACGTTCCCAAGGATAAGACGCAGCCACCGCGGCAGCCTCTGCACGTCCCAGCCTGTGCCAAACAATCCACCAACTGCCGCACCGTGACCGGACGCCACAAGCATTGCGTTCGCCAGCCGGGAGGCGTCTCCAGGAACCACGGCTGGGCCTGGAGCAGCAGCTACGAGGCACGAAAGATGGGCTGGCGACCTGGCGCCATACGTCGGCCCATCAAGAAGCTGATGGAGTTCTTTCTCCTAGACTCCACCCGAGAGACGGCGTTCCAGAAGTGCAAGGCAGCCGAGGCCGAAGAGCTGGCCAAGGAGCTCCAGCAGCCGGTGCTGAGTGTGTGCAAGAAGAACGGCGAGATCTTTGTCACCCTGCGGCCTTTGAGCACGCTCGGAATGCGCCAGAAGCCCATAACCTTTCGAGTAGTCAAAAGTGAGCTGGCCGTGGCTCTACGCCAGATCAAGCGGATCCTCAAGGAGAAGGGCTTCAGGAAGTGCACCTGCCGGCAGACGCTGATGATGTGCACCTGCCGCAACAGCATGGAGAAGCAGCAGCTGTTCCGCGCCCTGAACAAGGAGTGCCAGCGCCAATGTATTGCGCCCTGTGCCGATCACCTGATCCTCACGGACACCAGCGAGAGCGACTTGGAGTTTGACTTTGATGTGACGCCCCCAGCGGGCACGGAGCAGCCGTACCGTCGGCCCAGGGCTCGCACCGGTAACCGAGGCACACAGACGAGCAAGAAGGACAAAGTCCCGCCGCCGCGCATGTATCCTGCGAAGCAGAATCCCTACTGGCGAGCGTACAACTGTGCCGCTGGCGATCGGTATGTGGCCACGGCCTTTGGGTCGCCCGGCGAGAATGTCTTCGAGGATGGACTCTTTGGCTGGGGTGGCGGCGGACCACACGGTGCGTCCTCCCAGCCTGGAGGCAGGCCGAAGCCGCCTGGCATCTGGGGCTCTGCTCAGGGTGGCCCAATGCCGGCGGGGCCAGGAGGAGCCAGTCGAGGAGGCCGAGGCGGTGCCGCTGGCGGTGGAGCAGGAGGAGGTGGCGGAGGCGGAGCCGGTGCAACCGGTTGGAAGGGATTCCCAAAGGGTGTGGCTGCCAAGGTGGCCGCCGCTGCTGCAGGCGGAGGTCTCAAAGGAACGCTAGCCTCAGTCGCGCGTGGAGGCGGAGGAGGAGGAGGTGGTCCCATTCCTGTGCGAATGCCACAGCGCTATATAAAGGCCCAACAGCAGGCGGCCAATGCTGAAAAGGAGATGAAGCAGAAGGAAATCGAGCAAAAGAAGAAGGGCATCGATATGATGAAGTACCTCCAAAAGTCGGGCGCACTCTCCAAGCCCTGGAACCCAGCCGACGGCAAGAGTCCTAAGGGCAAGCAGAGCGGCCCAGTCCTCGGCCCCGATGGCCTAACCGACGCCCAGCGCAAGCGACGCGCCCTGCTCGAGATGCCGCCGCCGCCACTCGATTCGATAACACGCCGGGGCAAGCCATTTGATCCCTGTGCCGCCTACTACTGTGGCTACTACTGCTGAGTGTGAGTCCACTCCCCCCACTTTCCCTCTCTTGCAACATTTGGCAGCATTTCCTTTTGGTGTGCAATTTTATTTGACACTTTTCCCACGACTTCATAAAAAATTCAGCAAGTGTGTGCTTGGCGTTTGGTTGTCGCTCTGATCCACCCAAGACCATTCGCTTCCAATTGACAGAACGTCTTCAGCAAACATGTACAGGGGCAGTCAACATCCACCTCCCATCACTAATGCTGCGAAAATCCAATGGCATTATCAAATGTTATGTTATGTAGAAGGTACAAACAAACTCGCGTATAAAGCCTGTACATTATGCATGAAATATGGCAATTTCAATTAGTTTTTAGTGCCACAGACAGACAGACAGACAGACAGACATGGGATTAAATTTTGTAAGCCCAACAGCTTGTTTGCAATATTATAACAGCATTTCGGATTTGCCAGTAGACATTGGATGGGAGGGGAGTCCGAGCTGCCAGCAGAGATTGCAAAATGTTGTCTGTGCAGTTAATTAAATGGCAGGCACGCACAGGACGAGAAGGAGACAAGGATGGGACACGAAGAGAGCACAGGGGCAGAGCGGCACAACAGCTGCGCGGCACTTCATCAACGGAATTACACTTGGAGGAAATATTTGCAATGCTCAATATTATGTAGAAAATATTCCAAGATCTGAGTACAAATATTTAACAACAAATATATTTTCAAGGCTCAATAATAAAACTTAATCTTGTTCACTTTTGGCACTTCTTTCACTACTTTCATTACATTCTCTCAGTGCACAAGGGCACCGCTCTACACCACACACGTTTCACGTTCCATGTTCTACGCTCTACGCATAGAATAATAGCATACATGGTATATTAATAGGGAATGCTAATTCTATGCAAAATACCTAAGCTGATTAGGAGATATGGATTCCCTATGGCACTCAATGGGGTCATGCGTGCCCATATTCGGGGGTAATAAGTGTCCCCTCCCCAGCTTCCACTATCGTTCGAGCATCATAACATGATTGTTGCTCTCGGCTCATGAAAATCCCTCAGCGCAGTTGTGCCCCTAAACACAGCTCAAGAGCCGGACCTTCATGCGGGGCCAACGAACCATTGTAAATTGAGCCAATTTATTCGAGACGAGACGAGAAGAGAAGAGCAAAGTTACGGGCTTCAAATTTGCACAAGAGGATGCAAAATTTTTTAATTATACAAATTACAGCAATTAAGTGGGGAATGGAAAAATGCAAAAGAAAGATTCCTTTTCTTGCGTGTTCATTAATCAAGACAGAGACATCTTACCTGAACTGGAAAAAAGCAAAGCGGGCAACGAGAACCATGAAGATTAGGCTAAGGTTGGTCTTGGG